GCATTTGAAAACCATAAAAGGTAGACTCTGTGTTAAAAACATTTACCAGATGCAATAATTTAATTCTCCCAACAACTTTGTGCAGCAAAGAGTTGAAGTCTACTGAAGTCGCAATACAAAAAGCCTGGAGCATGGCTACTATCTGGGAACCTTGCTTTTGGAAGGTTCCCTAAGTTACTGTTAATAACTGATAAGGTGACTTTGCTCACCTGGGGCACTGAATAGTGCTGCATCAGCCTTCCTAGAATGTACAAACAGTGTGATTTATGAAGAACACCTGCTTTCCTTCTGAGAGTCTGACTGGCCAAACAGGCAGAATGTACCTCCAGGAGCAGCCCCCAGTAGAGACCTTGGGCTCTGAGTCACAAGAGGGCTCCCCTGGGCAGAGATGTTGCACATATGCTACTGCAGTTCCCTATTGAAGGAAGGAGCCAGGGCCGGGAGGGCCCGTCCTAGAAGGAAGAACATAGGAAGCCTGTGCCTGAATTTCTCTACCCTCCACCTGATGTGTCTTTTTCTCTTGTGATCCTGCTGTGTATCGTTTCACTGTAATAAATCTCAGCCACGAGTACAAGTACATGTTGAGTCCTTCTAGTACAACGCTGACCATGTGGATGCTCATAGGATCCCCAAAACAAACTCTCAAAGGTATGTAATGTGACTCGAATTTCATAAATTTAAAAATCTGACGAATGTGCAAGTTAAGAGATATAGACATAGTCACTCACTAGATGAAGGAGCTGGGATCTAAATCCAGTCCATCTCCCTTCAAAGACGCTCATTTCATCATGCCGGGCAGCCACACTCACGCACATACCTTCCAGGCCCAGGCAAGCTTCTTTGTAAGGCACAAGGCCTAGTAGCTACTGGTTAGCTATGCAAACTTGGGAAAGCATCTTAAAGGATTTGAACCTCAGATTTCTTTACTATAAAACTGTAATAATAATACCAACGTCATAACATTTCTTTGAGGATTTAATAAGATTATATACAAAATATGTAAGTCATGTGTAAAGCACATGTATATTAAATATACAATCTATTGAATCTGTAAGTCACTTTGAAAAGCAAAAAAAAAAGAAAAAAATAAATAAAAAAATAAATATACAATCTATTAAAATCTATAAAGTCCTTAGCCTAGTGCCTGGTACACAGTACACGCCAATAAATTAAAAAACTAGATAAATATGTACATATGTATAAATATGTATATATACAAGTACACACCTATATACATAAATATGCATGCCATTTAATTCCTTGCCTAATAAATTCTGCCTTGATTACAGAGCATCCTTTACTAATCATAGATGAAGCTAGTTAGGATTTCATAAGTGGGCTTGATTTTTTACACCCACTGTTTTCAATCCAGGAAACCACTTTTATCCAGATACCTTCTACTCAAAGCCTAAAGGCTGACTATCTTTAATGTTTAACCTATGAAATTAATCATTAGCCAGGCAATTGAGAGCTTTGCTTAAGACACTAACTGGTACTTATCATTAGCTCTAACATACACAGATATTGAGGCCATATTTGTATAACTCCAAGGTAGAACCTGCGATCTAGCAGTGAATTACTCTGTTGGGAAACTGGGACTCCCTTGGAAAGGGAGTTCTCTATACAGTTCTCTATACAGAGACTGTGCAATCCTACTTCTGTGGTTAAGATTTGTTATCAGTAATACAATTTACATTATACCTTTTTGACATTTATGTTCATAGCATTACAAAATTATACTGTAATTGAAGTGTAATTACTCATTTCTTGGCTACCATTCATGGCATCCTCTATCTTCTCTCTAAAGTCAAGGATATACGGTGTGAGTCAGTATTAGTATGAGGCCGACTTTCTCCTAGAACTTGGTATCTGAATTTTTTCTGTCTGGAGCAAAGATGACAGAATCAACTCTAACCCAAACATGCCATTTTCCACCCCAGTTACTGACATCCAACTGCAAGTTCACACTTACTAGCAGTAATATCCATTTGGACATTACTACCTGACTGGCCTCCAACAAATTATTTATCCTATTGGTGCCTTCAATTCCTAATTTGTAAAATGATGATAATAAGCATACCTATTACACAAACCTAGATGGTATGGCAAACAAACAAACAAGCAAAAGAAATCCAAAATCCAAAAAACCAAAACACCCCCACAATCCAAAACCAAACAAAAAAGAATACCTACCCTATAGATAACAATACTGTATTGTACACACAAAAAAATTTGTTAAGAGTAAAATGATTAGAACAGTGTCTGGACCATTGTATAAAATAAATAAACAGAACATATAGTACATCTTCTACTGTTCTCTCACTGCTTCTCTAACCACCTTATAGTCCCAACTAGACTATGACCTATTTAAGGCCAGGGAACACACTGGCACTATGCTTTCCTGTCTATCTTCCCTCCCTCAGTGAACTTAACCTGGCACTAGACATATTAGGTCAACAGTTGTTGACCTAACAGTTGTGAGTCCAGTCATGGCAGAATCGCACAGGAGAAAACACCTAGGATACACTGAGTGCCACTCCAACTAACACCTCTGGCTCAGTGGCTTTCAAAATATTAGACTCCAACACACATAAAAAAATAATTTTTAGGTTGCAACCTCATACACACCTCAATATGCTTATATGTTTATATAATATATATCCAATTGAAATAATAATTTTGCAAAACAATACTTATTGTTACCACATAAGGTATGCTTTAATCATTTCTAATTATAACTAGTTCATTGCCTTTCAAACTTTAATGTGCATTCGAGTCACCTGGAGATCTTAGGGGTCAGATTTAACAGAACATGGGTAGGCTCAGAGAATCTGCATTTCTGTCACATTTCCAGGTGACACCATAGAAGTGTGTCACCACACTTTGAGTAGTAACAGTCTAGTATAGTCTAGTCTATTTAAAACTTTTGAAAAGCTGAGAATGGTTCTCTAATTTTATTTCGTGACCCACAAAGTGGTTGCAATCTGCAGTCTGTAAAACACTGCTCCAAATAATTTCTAAAGTTTCTTTCATCTCTATAATCCCGCTGTTATCTTGCTAACCTTGGGATAAAATTTCTAGACCTGGATGTATATGGGGTTAAGGGAGGGAGCTCACAGCAAGAATGACTCAAGGCTTATCTTGCACACTGACTCTCAGGCTGAAATGCCTGCCTGGTTCCCAGCCCTTTCTTCACTGTTTCAAGTGTGCTCCTTGCAGCTATATTAACTAACTGAGCACTTACTAAGAGCAGGGCACTGAACCAAGTGCTCTGCATCTACCACATTTACTCCTACCACCCCTTTATGGGATTATCCCCATTTTATAGATGACAGAAGGTAAGCAGCTAATAACAGGTGGAGCTGGGATTCAAGAGGCTTTGTTCTTGTGACAGCCAGCCTCCACGGTGGCTCCAGTGATCACTGCCCCCTGGTATTCACACTCTTGTGTAGCCCTTTCTCACACTAAATAAGGCTGGGCTGGTAATCAAGAGATTAATGAAGAAATGATAGTATGTGACTTCCAAGGCTCATTTAGAAAGAAACATTGTGGCTTCTGCCTTTCATTCTCTTGGATCAACCTCTCTCTGAAAGAAGCAAGGTTGCCACATCATGAGAATTCTCAAGCAGCGTTATAAAGAAGTCCATACAGCGACGGACTGAAGCCTCCTGCCAACAGTCAGTACCAACTGGTTAGGTAACAAGTGAGCCATTGTGGAAGACTCCAGATGACTGCAGTCCCAGTTGACACCTTGACTACAACTGCCTAAGGAAGCCCAAGCTAGAACCATCCAGCTAAGCTTCTCCCAAATTCCTGACCCACAGAAACTGTGTGAGATAACAAACATTTATTATTGTTTTGTACCATTAAGTTTTTGTAGTAATTTGTTATACAGGAAAAGAAAACTACCCATGTCACTCAGTATCATGGGGGATTGGTTCTAGGACCATCCTTGGATACTAAAATCCAAGGACGCTCAAGTCCCTGATATAAAATGGCATAGCATTTGCATATAACCTGTGCATATTCTCCTGTATACCTTAAATCATCTCTGATACAATGTAAATGCTATGTAAATAGTTGTCATTCTGTATTGTTTAGGGAATAATGACAAGAAAGAAAGTCTGTGCATATTCAGCACAGACATAACTTTTTCTTTTCAAATATTTTCCATTTGTAGTTGGTTGACTACATGGATGTGGAACCCACAGATACAGAGAGCCAAATGTAATACAGTTCTTAACCAATAAGTTATATTGCATCACTATAATTCAACCTTGAAACAGAAACTTTTATGAAGGCCCTTTAGGATAACTCTCCACTGTGGCATCTGTGGTTCAGGAAATTTTCATTCTCCCCTCAATAACCAACCTTGTGGGAGGCATCTACTGCCCAAGTCCATAAGTATTAGACTTGATTACATGACTTTCCTTTTTCTTTTTGAGACAGAGACTCACTCTGTTGCCCGGGCTAGAGTCCTGTGGCATCAGCCTAGCTCACAGCAACCTCAAACTCCTGGGCTCAAACAATCCTTCTGCCTCAGCCTCCCGAGTAGCTGGGACTACAGGCATGTGCTACCATACCCAGCTAATTTTTTCTATATATTTTTAGTTGGCTGATTAATTTCTTTCTATTTTTAGTAGAGACAGCGTCTCACTCTTGCTCAAGCTGGTTTTGAACTCCTGACCTTGAGTGATCCTCCCTCCTCAGCCTCCCAGAGTGCTAGGATTACAGGTGTGAGCCACCACACCCAGCTTACATGACTTTCTTTAGCAAACAACACATTCCAAACAGTGGATATTCCTTTACCCTGGGTGCCAAAATCAGAAGGTGTGGAACACAAACCTGAACTTGTCCCTCAGCCTGTAGACAAGCCAACGTGAACCCAAACAGAGGTGCAACTGACTTACAGACCCATGAGTGAGAACTCAGTACTGTTATTATAAGACATAAAATCTGGGGTTTTTGTTACTGCAGCAAAAGCTGGCTGATACACTCACCATGCTGTATGATGCCATGCTCCATAAGCCGGTGGCAAAGCTGCTCTGCCTCTTTCCTTGTAGTGGCCTCACCTTCCTGAACCAGCCAATCCAGGAATTCAGATGCCATGAAGGTGCGCTCATACTTGACTCCTTCCTCCTCCCTGGGCTGCAGGAGTGTGTTTTCTGGGCTCATCAGCCTGGAAGGAAGAAAGAAAGGGGAAAAGAAAAATAAAACAAGTCTACACAAAAGGAAAACAGCTCATTTGAAATCTTGTATCATAGGCTTCAGTGAAGCATCACAGCAAAGTTGTCAAACAGACAGATGTGGCTGTCATGTGCTTCCACACATGTGATTTCTAAGAGGAGGATCTGCTTCAGAAGTGAACAAGATGCATTTTTCCCTGGTAATTAGAAAAAATTGGAAATGCAATCCAAAACTATACCATTAGTAGGCTGTATTCATGCTAGCAATCTCAAAAAGAATTACAGTTTGCTGACCACGCCCTATTCTACCATTCTAAAAACGTTATTATTTCTTTCCTAAAGGCATTATTTCATTTCCCAAATCATTGTGCCAATAAGAAGACTACTGCTGTGGACTGAGTGTTTATGTCCCCACAGATTTCACAGGCTGAATCTGTAGTCCATAATGTAATGGTATTTGGAGATGGGATACCCTTGGGAGGTCATGATTGTGGAACCCCCATCATGGAATTAGTGTCCTTATAAGAAGAGACACAAGGGAGCTAGTTTGCTTCCTTTCTCTCTCTCTCTCTCTCTCTCTTTCTCTCTCTCTTTCTCTCTCTCTCTCTCTCTCTCTCTCTCTCTCTCTCTCTCTCTCTCTCTCTCCATGTGGGGACATAGCAAGAAGATGGCTATCTGTAAACCAGAAAGCAGGTCTTTGCCTGACACTGGATCTGCTGGCACCTTGATCTTGGACTTCCCCAACCAATGTTTCTTGGTTAAGTCACCCAGTCTATGGTATTTTTTGTTACAGCAGCCTAAACTGACTAAGACAACTACTTAAGTCACTCCTTTACAATCCTATCATACCACATGGATTGCTTCTCTTTACCAATTATTCCCAAGCTCAACTCCTCTAGATTCTGTCCTTACATCTCCAAAATAGCTCCAACGGGGGCCATGGGTGTTCTCCCATGCATCCATATATGATACTATGTGACATAAATGCAAGTCCTCAGTTTGGTTGACATTAATATCATTAGGTGCTACTACTGCCCTCAGCCAGAGGGATGTCACACTCCACTGGTTTCCCTCTTATCCCTCTGCTCCTACCTCTTCCTCAGCTATCTTTGAGTTGGCTCCTATTCATCTCCCTGGACTTCCAAGACTGGAATTCCTTGGCTTCAGTCCCCAAGTACTTCTTTTCTCATTCCACAGTCTCTTGGGTGAGCCTTTCATCCTCATGGCTTCTGTCACCAATCCATTTCCCAAGGATTCCCAAATTTAAATCCCCAGACCAGGCTTAAACTCCAACACCAGACCTTTGCATCCATGGAGACATCTCAAAGACACCTCAGAATCAACAAGCCCAAAACTGAACTCAGGTTCTTCCCACCAGACCTGGTCTTGTGCCAGTCAGTGCTTCCACACCCAGCCAGAAAAGGAAGCACTGTCCTGACGCCCCCCCTTCCTCATCCCCTGCCCAGGCTGTCAGTGTGAACTGCCAATTTTATCTCCTCAATCTCCCTCGGGCATGTCTGGGCCTTCTCATCTCAGGCACTGCCATTACCTTAGTCTAAAACACCAATAGCTCTAACCCAGATGACTAGTGTTTTCTTAATGGGACTATACTATGCATCCACTCTTGTTCTCAACCCAACCTTGAGCACCTAAGTCCAGACAGAGCGATTAAATTATGTTTTTAAAATTCAAACCTCATAATGTCTAGCCCCTGTCGAAAATACACTTCAATGGCTTCTCATTGCTTTTAACGTAAAGACCAAAATCCTTTACGTGGGCTATAATGTACGCACGTTTCTGGACCTACTCCGTCCCATTAGAACCATTCTCACCTTATATCTCTGTGTGCTCCAGAGATGCTGATCTTCTGTGGGTTTCTCATGCTCTGTCTACTATGGGGACTTTGAATATGTCATTCCCTAGGCTGGCATGGTCTCTCCCTCTTCTACCCACCATTTCCCCACTCCCTAGGCCTACGTAACTCCCTATTCGCTGCATCTCTGCTATGGTCAGGTCTCTACTAAGCCATCTCATTGCTCCATGTACAGTTTTTATCAGATTAAAGACTACTCAATTATAGGTTCCCACAGGGTAGAGTCCATGTTTGTCCATAAAACTTCGTTAAATGAAAAACGGAACCTTAAAAAATACCAGTCATCATGCCATCTTCCTCTATAAAACTATTTCTGATGAGTTCCTGTCTTCCATATGAAAGTTTGGCTCTCTCTTTTAAAAACCTTCATTTCCTCTGATGCTAACAATAATATGCAATACAAAATGAACTATTTCATTCTACAATAGGAAGAAACCTTGGAGATCACTGTAGTCCAAATCACTCTTCATCCTCATGAGAAAAATGTAGTTCTTATCTAAATGAGAAAAATTGAAGGACAGCATTCAGTGTAGCAGGAAGGAAACTTGCTCAAGGTCATGGAAACATTTACTTTATACTTGTCTACCAATCATTTCATTTGGAGATAATTAAATCTGCACACCTGAATGCCATATGACATTCATTTTGAATGCTTTTAGACTTAGAGCCCAACCATGCTATACAAAGAACACTGCACTAGGAATTAGCAGATTTATCTTCAATGGGTCACAGTCGCTTTGAGACATAAGGCAAGCCATTTTTCTTTGTTTCTGCCTCATTTTTCTCAAGAGTATCATGGTATCATCATTGAGCTATTGTTAGAATCATATGTGAGTGTGAGTGAAACAACTTTACAATATAAGACAACACACAGTATATGCAAAGTGTTATACTATGTTAAGTAATCATTGTGCCTATAACAGGGCATGATGAATTTCTGCCTAATAGTTATGAACTGATGAAAAAGGGACTCCTTCAAGTTCCCTCTGCTTTTTCTAGAAGAATCGTCAGAGTTTAACCTGAAATCCATGTACGGGGCATAAGATTAGACAACAGGAGACTTGAAACTCAAACACCCTTCTGCCCTAAACTTGTCATGTAACTTCTCACTGCTTCAGTGTCTCTGAGCATGTATTAAATGAGGAAAATAATGATATCTGCTCTACTCCCTTCACTGGATTGCTGTTATTATTAAAAATATTTTGGGGGGGCTGGGCGGGGTGGCTCATGGTGTAATCCTAGCACTCTGGGAGGCCAAGGCGGGAGGATCATTTGAGCTCAGGAGTTCGAGACCAGCCTGAGTAAGAGCAAAACCCCATCTCTACTAAAAATAGAAAGAAATTAATTGACCAACTAAAAATATATATAAGAAAATGAGCCAGGCATGGTGGCGCATGCCTGTAGTCCCAGCTACTTGGGAGGCTGAGGCAGAAGGATCGCTTAAGCCCAGGAGTTTGAGGTTGCTGTGAGCTAGGCTGGCACCATGGCACTCTAGCCTGGGCAACAGAGTGAGACTCTGTCTTAAAAAATATATATATATTTTTTTTTTGGGGGGGGGAAGAAGCTCTAAGTATATAAATACATACTTTTATATTAAGAGTATTTATAAAAGCTATTAGCATATAGCCAAACGCATTTAAAACCTTATTCATCATGCAACAGGGTTCACTTAAAAATCTTATTTAGATCTTTTCCCAAGTCAGTCCTCCTCAGACTTTAATCTATATTTAGAAATAGCCATTAGGCTGTTTTCCCAGAGTTAGGAACCAACTTAGCTAAGTTGGTGTGAGCAATAAGCATTCTATCTAATGTAGTAATGGGCAACCCTTTCTTAGAAGGTGCAAGAACAACCACCACATGCATGTCAACACGAGGGACAGAAACATAAAGATGTTCTATAGGAGATTATGGGCAAAAGTGGCCACAACAGCTCCTCTCATACTTCTTTCTGGTGTGACTTCACTGCTTCCTTCACCAAGACTTTGAGTCCATTTAAACTTCCCTTGAACCTAGGCTGGCTTTGTGACTTGCTCTGACCCACAGGATGCAGCAGAAGTGACATTATGCAACTTCTAAGGCAGGGCTTTAAGAGGCCTTATAACTTCCGCCTTCTCCCTTGGAATGCCCTCCTGAGACTGCCATGTAACGGAGTAGGTCCAGCCTAGTGGAGGAGAAGACGCCACAGGGAGAACTACGGTGCCCAGGCAAACAGCAGGCACCAGCTCTCAGACATGTGCATGAGGCCATCCTGGAACCCTCCTGCCCAGGTGACCCTCCAGCAGCCGTACAAATGAGCCCCGGTAAAAGCAGTGGAAGAGCTGTCCTGCGACCCACAGAGTCAGAAGACAGAAAACATCATTGTTGTTTTAGACTACGAAATCCTAGAGCGATTCATTCTGCAGGAATAGATAACTGGGACACATTCATATCAAGGAACAGTGGCAAAAATAGGTGAAACTCTGCACACAGAGTCATATCGCACAGCTCAGAAAGTACCAAAGGAAAGATGGACACACAAAGGAAGTTTCTGGAAATAATCTGCACAGAATAAAACCACATAGAGCTAGACCTAAGAACATGCATGAGTGACGGGAATCCAGAAAAGAGAATGGAAAGACCCGTGTGTGTGCCCAAATAAGGAATAACCCCATTCCTTCATTTCTTTTGGCCCAGAAATAAGGTATTTGGGGGTGAATACAGAGAATAAACTAGCCACCTAGTTTCCTGGTTTTAGACATTACTTCCTCTAAGACATTTCTGGTTGCTACGCATCTGGACTATGTACCACTTCTCAGAGCCGTGGGGCAATCACCTGCTCACTTGACTATAAGCTTTTTGAGACCAGAGTCCCTATTCATGAGGTTTACAGATGTTTCCTAGCACGGCAGATTTTCAAAAATTATTTCCTGAATGAATAAACTCATTTCTATGCATTCCCCTGCTATATGTCATTACCCAATTTTATATTAAAAATGACCTCCTGAGGATGACCCTGTGTGGAGATGAGGCGGACCAAGGTGGCTCTTGCACAACTGACAGTCTCCATTTCAGACATAGACACAGATTCTTGGCTTCTAACTACCCTGCCCCTTCAAGGTCAGCGATTTTCCTTTCAGGGAG